CCCCCCCCCCCCAAACTTCCATCAAAAAAACTCAACTATTATTTAATATTTTAGGCTTTACACGTAAATGTAGACATGAAAAGAAAAGATCTTACTGTCAATACATATGTGGTGATCTTCAGGGAAAAATTAAGTAACTTTACCTCACTAGTATTGCAGATGTCGCTTAGCGTGGAGCCACAGGCTTTACCAGGAGTAGCGTTCCATGGGATGATTCCTGAAAATGATTATATGCATCACATACATTAATCAAAAAGGTTATAAAGCAATACACTTGAATAATTATAGATTATAAAATATATATTAAATATAAATATATAAATGAAATAAATGAAATACATATGTATATACACACAAATACATCCACACATTTATATATATATATATATTCCCACTGTTAGGGGTTTCAGTAAAGCCAAGAGAAGGAAACATCTGATTGTATTTTATTGATTGTATTTAAAAGGAAGTGTACACTGACAGATTTATCTCAACAGCTGCATTCCATTAGAATAACTCACTCCTTACATTGTAAAGTGATGTTGATATTGCAACTAAATACAACCAAGTATTATCCACTGGTTCACGGTTGAGGACAATCAAGGTTTTTACCATACTGCCGCACATCAACACAGATGTTGTCCACAGAGGTGAGATTGGCAATAGGGGACTTCATGGCTCCACATGTGGTCCACATGTTATAAAACAGGAAAACGGGCACCGCAGAGAAGCCAAAGATGCCCAGCCATCCCAAGCCCAGAATGTAGGTGAGGAACACAAACTTAAAAAAAGAGAGAGAAGGTTGTTAGCCTCTCATGCTCACATATCCATTCAATATCCACATATCTAATATTATGATGACTAGAATAATCTCATCGTTTTTAAATCCTGCAGTGCATACTGTATGAATGTGACCCAGAATCATGACCTATTTACCGCCAGATCACCTTGGATGTGTTGCCACTTGATTATCGCACTCACTCATTTGAACATACACACGTTTTCCAGACTAATGCATGACACATGCATACATGGCCTAAAGGCTTTAAAGATGGATGCTACTGGACATCTGATTCTGCAGTGATTAAAGCAACTGGGGTATATAGCACTGATCGTGCCAGATCTGTCCTCAAGGGTTGGGGTTGGCCTATGTATGTACAGTGGGTGTGTTTGTGTGTGTGAATATGCCAAATCTAGCATTAAAGGGGTGGTTGACTGCTTTTTTCTAGGCTTGATTGTGTTTATGGGGTGCAGTCTAATGTGTTAATGTTTTGTTTTAAACAAAACGCATTATATTTCACATAATTTACATTTATTCTGTCCCTTCTCTTATGAACGCTCTGATGATTTCCTGGTTTTATGAAGCCCCTCCCTCAGAAATACGCAATGGGCTCAGATTGATTAGCTGGCCTAGTGTGTTGTGATTCGGTAAACCGCCAAGTGGATGTTCACCTCAGTGGCATGTGCTCCGGTGTTGTATTGTAAACAATGGCGTCATCAATATTGCTTATCAATTTGAGCTCGAATGAGACCCTGAGAATATTAGTGAAGAGGATCATGCAGAACCCGTGCAAGCACAGCTTAAGAACCGCTGCTTTTAGAACACTGATTTTGAAACTTGTGAATCCATTAGAATCGTTACAAGACAGAATCACGATTTATATATGAATAGATTTTTTCGTGCACCCCTAGTTTTGACGGCATGGCAACAACTCTTCCTCTTCTCTAAAGCAGCGCAACATGGCCCCACCCCCTTTGTTGCATGTTCCCAGGGGCAGGGTTTATGTAAATTTCAGGGTTTTTTTGTGTGATGTCACCAACCTGGGAATAAGCTCGTTGTAGTCCCTATGAGCCGTAACTGCACGCATTAAACTGCCATTATTTTAAAAGACATTATCTCCGTTTGTATCAAACTTTCAGCGTCGTAACTTTGCAGATATTGTTTATGCTCAAACAGAAACATTACACACTAACTAAAGTTAAAAAAAGTGAAATCACAATCAACCACCCCTAATGTTTATGGATGGGGGAAATGCATTCGTATGAGCATGCACGTTTATATAATTATGTGTAAGTCTATTTTTTTAAACGTGCCTGTGGCGATATATCTGCAAAATGCAAATTACACATAGGTTTTTCTATGTATCACAACAGTTCGGCAAGTGAGTGGCTTTAAAGGGTTAATGTTCTTTAATGTCTGAAAACACTACACTAAACCCTGCCGTAAACATAACCGATAGTGTTAACAAAAGCAAACGTGAGATAAAAATGCATTTGCTCAAAAAATTATGCCATTTTAGCTTACTTCTACAGGTCTTTGAGGAGGATTCGCACTTGAGCTCTACACATCACAAGTAAAATGCTGTACCGGGTGAGATTCTGAGCAAGTTTACGCTGTCAAAACATATGCCAAACATATGGAGCTGGTTGTGTGATGCAAACATCAAAATGTGTTAGTTTACAAATCATGCATTATGGTAAAGGTGTCTGAGGCCATAATAACAAAGTACTGTGCAAAGAAAATAATGTGTGAAAATAAGTCTTTATTAATCAATAACCTGCCCCTGTAACCATACTTTGTGTGAAAAGGAAAAAAGTTTTTGCGTTTTACTGCCTCTAGCTGGAAACTTGAATTGAAAGGTATATATCGGTAAATTTTTTTGAGTTTTGCAGAAACATAGGTAGAGGAATATTTTTCCAGTGAGACTGGGTATTTATTTGTATGTCCATTCTTGTATGTGCGCACTGGCCTCACCATGGCACTGATGCAGCGTCCACACACAGTGGTCTTGAACTCGCTGTGCATCTCTTTGACAGCACTGGTGGTGTAAAAGCCTTCAGCCAACAGGATGATGCCATACAGGAAGAAGAAACAGGCGATTCCATAGATGATGTACTGCAAAATCTGAACCCTGTATAACAAAGGAAAAATTTAACTATAGTGAATGTGTTAATGTAAGAGATCCAGGGTGGGCATAAATCCCTCAACATTATTCAATATTTTTAAGGACAAATAGAGATTTTCTTATTCTACTGGCACTTGTTCCTTTCAAATTAAAATGCATGAAAAGATATCAATTTAGATGAAATGATACCAAAGTATAGTCATAGCTTATTTAAGATCACATTTCCCAGAGTTCTTGCTCAGTAAACAATTGCGGCAGTGATTGATTTGACTTTTATGTGGGGGATGCAGATGTACTCTTGGCAGATTTGATCAGGGCCACTGACAGTAAAGATGTACACAGGAAATTAAAGGCAATAGGTCATTTGTCCCCAGTAAAGCTCCAGATGACATGATGGAACAGAAACTACTGCCAGTTATTTGCTGGCATTCTAGAGATTATTACTCAGCACACAGTCACCCTTGAACATGTCATAGACATGAATGCAAACAGACAGAAAAAGATAACCTCAAAATTTGCTTTAAATATACCTCTAATAATCATCACACCTCAAGCAACTCACAGTAGTGATCTAAATAAACAAACAACTATCATTGGGAAGTTAGTATTTATGGTATTTGGTGTATTTAATGGCTGTTTATACGAACACACTTACACATCAGTGAGAGTAGCATGGTCAGAGGTGACGTGAGAAAAGTGGTTTTCCACCATGGTCACAGTGCCCGTAAGTGCCACATGCCCACAGCCGCAGAACAGAGCAACACCCGAAAAGCACAAGATGGTGGCCACCAAAGAGGCGTAAGGGACACCACCCAGACACTTGATGCAACACTCGAAGCAGCCTGTAGGGGGAGAAAGACAGACTTCGTGTTTGTCGTAATTCACTACAGCAACTTTGATATTTTTATGCTGTGCTAATTAATCACACATACATTTTGAATATTGTATTTGAACACTGAACATATTGAGTGTCAGACGTATTATTCTTTAGAGTTATTAAGGCCACAAAGACAGATGATACTTCAGATTCCTACTTCAGACAGATAATGTTTTATCACTTTATCAACTCTGCCTTTGATGCCCCGAGAGGTGAGGTTCATGTATTTGGTGTCTTGACACCTCAATGCGACGCAATCATGTCAGATGAAATCAGCTGGCCATCCATGACAAGCCATCTTCACACTCACGTCATATGACATGTGGTGAGACGGATGTACTGTAGGATGAAGTGTTTAATTACAGCCACTAACAAATACATTTCTCTATTTTGAATGTTCAATGATCAGGTTCACTGTTAACAATCATTATTTTACAAAACAGAATGGAAACTGGAAAACACCCATATGTAAATGTAATATATGACCTATATTGCTATAACAAGAACAATATTGCCATGACAGTGCCGATAGCCTAGTGGGCAGTGCACCGACATATAACGATATTGCGTTATTGGCGTCCCGAGTTCGAATCCTGGCTCGAGGACCTTTCCTGATCCCACCCCTCTCTCTCTCTCTCCCAATTCACCTTCTGTCAACTCTAAAAACTATCCTATCACAATATCGCCAACAATTAAGGCTGTCGACATATAACGATATTGCGTTATTGGCGTCCCGAGTTCGAATCCTGGCTCGAGGACCTTTCCTGATCCCACCCCTCTCTCTCTCTCCCACTTTGCTTCCCGTCTACTCTACACTACCCTATTTTAAAAATGGCAAAAATAAAATCTTAAAAAAAAAGTGATATTTTCATATATGTTACCTATAAGGCCATATTTATATAAATAACATACTCAAACTCAAATTTTACTCCCCATAGTAAAATTTGTATTATGTACATACAGGGCCTAAAATTAACACTCGCCAAGCGCCAAATCAGGTAAAAATCAGCGTTGGCGAGTCAATGTAACAGTGTCAGTCGCCAGTTGGCGGGTACAACTTTTACGAATTATAACAATGCAATGAAGTGAAAATAACAGCCAGTTTTTAAAGAGATTCACTGTTTCTGACATAAGAGAATAAAATAATCTTTTCCGAAGACAAGATCATCTTGATTAGCTGTTCTGTCATAAGCGACAAGAGTGAATCGAATAATAGGATACAAACGGACTGATAAGGTCAGAGCAGTGTGATGGCCAGCATGTCCCTAGACACGGTTCTAATACATTTTACCTGAGAAGATTTTGCTGCTTCATTTCGGAAGATTAACTTTTCCCATCTTTATTCCTCATAACCCGAGAATTCGGCGACACATACCTGAGGTTACGCCGCCTAAACGGTACAGTGAAGTATAGTTTGAAAGGCTGCGCATTCGGCTGTACACATATGCTGAGCCGCTTCAGACAGCTCACCAGTAGCGCTTCAACGCACGAAAACACACACAATTATGTCAAAATGCGCGGTTTTGGCGAGTTACCTTGTAAATGGAGTCTTAAATGAGTTATAAATGACCGTAAAGAGTTGGGAGAAAATCGGGTATGTGTCAGAACCGCGTCATATGCATCAGGTTTTAAAGAGACAGCACTGCTTTTAAAGTAAAACCTGCTGAAGTCTTGTCATTGATGTATATCAAAGAACAAAAGAAAAAGAGAAATCCTTGGACTGTTCTAGTCGCTGATTAACTTTTATAGCTTGAATAAAAATTTATATGTATAGTTTATGCATATATAATATAGTTTATGTGAAGATTGTTTTAAAATCACTTAAATTAAAAGATGTTATATATTTCAGAGCCTACTAAATGTTAAAAATAATGGATTTCAATTATACTGTAATGTTGAATGGCTATAATTAATAAGTAAAATTGAGGGAAAATGCACCAGCAGGACAAATTAAAAACATTGTAAATATGTTTAGTTATTGTAGTAGTAATAACTGCCTGTTTTTGCAAAAAGAGTTTCATGGCCAGTAAAAAAACTTTTTGGTCGGTAAATTTTATCATGTCACCGGCCATTGGCAGGTGTGGCAAAAAGTTAGTTTTAGGCCCTGTGTACATATCAATAATATCTATATAATGATTTTTATATGCTATTATATGTAACATCCATATATAACAATATTTCATTTATAAATGCAACTTTATTAAAACAACATATACAAAAATGAATGTTTATATATGTTTATGTATTTTTTTTTTTTTAAACATGTCTGTTAGATTAAACGGATAACTGTCCTTCAGTTGCCAGCAGTTCTCCCTCACCAAAGAATGCATGATGATGGGAAGAACACACAAGGCTGTGTTCAGAATCTACAAAGTTTTTTGGACATATACACGGTTAATTTTTCTTATTATGCATATTCACGTTATTATGCATATTCATCATTGAACAAAGATTTTCAAAATTGAACTCCTTTTCTAAGACTCCCTCAGACTCTCCCAAGGCCTGGAAAGCAGTTATATTTGAAACAACACAACTCATATCATAAGTTATCTAGGTCAAAGAGGAAGTGCACGATCAACCAGGGCCCACAACAATAACCTGCACCGGGGTCCGCACGGGGCCCTGACAATGTCAGTCTTTTATATTTATGGATGGATATACATATACATGACATTAATGTTCAAAAATGTATTCATGTCCAAAAATGCATCACACATACAAAAACATACATGTTTGTATGGGATATTGTTCCAATTTCTAATAGCTTTCATATATGTTTTTTATTAATTACATTTACATATGGGTACTAGTACTTTTACAATGCCGCTTTCTGAAAAAAAAAAAAAGTCCTCAGTTAGAAAACGCAAAATTCAACATTTTAGAATGATAATTTTGGAAACACATGGGAAAATGTATTTCTGTTCTCACTCATGCACTTCCCTTTTAAAATGTGAACATCCTAATTTTATTCTTTGTCCATGCCTTCTGAAGAGTGAGAAATATTATGTGTGCAGTGAAGTCACTGCTTATTCATGTTGTTCTCTGCCTATTTATCTTCTTCCAAAGACATTAAACAACACCAACTCCCCCACATGCATGAATAATGCATTATAGATAGACTGCAACTTATGATCTTAACTTATGATCTCTATGGTACACAGAAAAAGAGTGTTGAGTGTCTGCCTGAGGAACTACAATTTATTACCCATAAAAAAGCACTGTGGCAGTACCACGGTACAGTGATGGTATCAGATAATAAATTAATAATTTATTTATTTGTATAGAATTTTTTACAATACATATAATACTATATGACTGTTTACCAGATTAATATACAATATTAGCATGGTAGATGTCAAAACATTTTGTACATGTTTTGCAAGTGTACTATGTGTTTACAGCTCTTGTGTTAAAGCTTTTTGCATAATTTTAGAGCATAATAGGACTAATCCAAGCAAGATGAATGTTTGCATGATTTAAGAGAACAAACGGCATGTAAGAAAACAGAAAAAAGTGTTATACCTTGCTTTGCCTTACTGTTACTGCTTTCAAACTGTATATACGTTAGGAGTTAATAGGGATTTTCTTTAGAAAGTCATGCTAATAGAAGAGTACACCAGCAGGGTCATTTTTGACATCAATGGGCCCTCTGATCCTCCAGTCACACACTCACATTAGCGATGCTAATTAATTTTTACAGTGAGCAGAACTTCTCTGAATATACAAAAGCATCTGTTCCGCACTGTCACACTGTTACCTCTTACAACAGCTGCTGCTCAGTTCATAATAGACCATTTAAAGAGGTAAAATGGTTTCTCAACATGAAGAGGATGATTACAGCAGTTATCTGACAGCAATATGAAATTTCATTTAATGTGTGCTGTGACTGGTTAGATCAAGAGTGGTTGTAAAAGAACATATGGCTACTGCAGGTAAACTTGGGAATGAAACATGGCAGGTTAAGATAGGGGAAAAAAAATAATTTGAGGTTATTTGACTATCTTTCCCAGGTTTATTCTTATAATGATGTCACTCAGTTCACGTGTGTGCTCACTTAATGTACAGCTGATTTTGTAATCAAGTAAAAAAAAAAAAAAATAGATACTGAAACTTTTTATAGATTGATCTTTGTTTGTGTAATGTAAAATACATTTATTTTATAAATTAAATAAAAGTATTTAATTGTAATTCCCACTAATTTGGCATGACGTGACATATGGCATAACATTCATCACTATTATACCATTAAAAATATTGAATTACACTTAAATTTTGCTTTTGACTATGTTTTCAATGTAATTTTTGTTCTCTGAAAATGCAGAAATTGTCCATCACTTTCTGTTTAATAGTATTGTTGTCACATTTATACTCTTTAAAGGGGTGGTTCACTGGGTTTTTTCTAGGCTTGATTATGTTTATGGGGTGCAGTCTAACGTGTTAATGCTTAGTTAAAAAAAAAACGCATTATTTTTCACATAGTTTACCTTTATTCCACACCGCTCTGTCCCTTCTCTGAGAAACGGGCTGATCTTTTCCTGTTTTTATGAAGCCCCGCCCTCAGAAATAGGCGATGGGCTCTGATTGGTTAGCTAGCCCAGTGTGTTGTGATTGGCTAAACCGCCTCTAGTGCGTGTCTAACCGTTCCGCCACTCACCACAGCGGCATGTGCTCCAGTTGTATTGTAAACAACGGCATCGTTAATATTGCTTATCATTTTGAGCCTGATTGAGAAGCAGAGGATATTATTGAAGAGGATCGTGCAGAACCTGTGTACAACAAAGTACAACAATTATCTTTTCAAAATGAATAGAATAGAATAAAGATATAAAAAAAATTCCTGAGAATGGGCTGTGTTACACATGCAAGTTTATTTACATCAACCAGAGATCTGGACACATGATATTCTTCAACCAACCACATTTATTATTATTCTCAATGCTCATGCAAACTCATTTCCATGAGTGA